TCTGAGACAGTCCAAGAGGCCCACAAAACACCTCACTCCGCACCCCTCCCCGCTCCTCTCAGATCGTTCCCATTCCTCCCCATCCCTCCTCGCTCCAGGCAAGTGTGCGCGAGGCGGTTGCGTCTCTGGCCGCGAGATCCTGCCAGTGCATACGTACATGTACGACCACACTTCGGGTGATAAGGAGGTTGTGTGTGTGGTGGTGGGGGGGAGGAAGGGGGACCAACTTGAGCTACAACATAGCATTGCATCGCACAGCAGAGCATAGCATAGCATCGAACAGCATCGCACAGCCACGAGCATCGCGTAGCGCAGCATAGCATCGCATAGCATGTCATAGCATCGCATCGCATCGCATATCGGAGGTGAGGGGGCGAGATCGAAGTGGAACGGAGAGCCCCCCTACTGGGAAATCGGTTTCGGTTTCGTGTTCGTGCGTGCCGTGCGTGCGGGCGAGGCGAAGCTGCGTGGGCGGGCGAGAAATAAGTCTCCTGTAGCTGAGGCGCGGCCGGACCAAAACGTCTTCGTTCCGGCAACCGGTACCCCGCGGTGTCCCGCCGGTGTCCCGCTCAGGGGCCAGTGGTGCGCAGTCCCCGCCGGTGTCCCGCCGGTGTCCCGTCGGTGTCCCGATGATGATGATGATGATGATGATGATGATGATGATGATGATGATGATGATGATGATGATGATGATGCTGATGCTGATGCTGATGCTGATGCTGATGATGATGATGATGATGATGATGTTGCTGATGTTGACGATGATGGTGATGGTAATGGTGGTGATGATGGTGTCCCGATGATGATAATGATGATGTTGACGATGTTGATGATGATGATGATGATTATGGTGATGGTGGTGTTGATGATGGTGTCCCGATGATGATGATGCTGATGATGATGATGATGATGATGGTGCCGCGATGATGATGATGGTGATGATGTTGATGATCCTGATTATGTTGATGATGATCATATGACTTGATGCTGATGATGGTGAAGATGATGATGATGATGGTGTCCCGATGATGATGATGAAGTTGATGATGATGATGTTGATGATGATGGTGATGATGATGACGGTATCCGGATGATGATGATGATGATGATGTTGACGATGATGGTGTCCCGATGATGATGATGATGATGATTATGATGATGATGTTGATGATGAAGATGATGCTGAGGTGTTGATGATGATTTCGATCATGGTGGCCCAATGAAGGTGATGATGATTCTGATGTTGATGATGATGGTGTCCCGATGATGTTGATGATGGTGATATGATGATGATGGTGACGATGATGACGGTGTTCCGATAATGATGATGTTGATGATGATGTTGCGAATGATGATGATGGTGTCCCGATGATGATGTTGATGATGTTGTTCATTATCATGATGGTGCGATGATGATGATGGTAGTGTCCCGAGGATGATGATGGTGCCCCGATGATGATGATGATGATGATGATGATGATGATGGTGACGATGTTGGTGTCCCGATGATGATGATGATGATGATGATGATGATGATGACGATGGTGGTGATGATGATGATGTTGATGATGATGGTGATGAGGTGATAATGATGAATGTGTCCTGGTGATGCTGTTGTTGGTGATTTTGATGACGTTGATGACGATGATGTTGATGATGATGGTGCTGATGGTGGTGACGATGATGACGGTGTTCCGATGATGATGATGATGATGATGATGTTGCGAATGATGATGATGATGATGATGATGATGATGATGATGATGATGGTGGTGATGCTGTTCAATATCATGATGACGCGATGATGATGATGGTGGTGTTCCGATGATGCTGATGGTGTCCCGATGATGATGCTGATTTTGATGATGATGATGGTGACGATGACGGTGTCCCGATGATGATGATGGTGATGCTGATGATGTTCATGATGATGTCGATGAGGTCATGATGATGATGGTGGCCCGATGAAATTGGTGATGATGTTGATGACGTAGATGACGATGATGCTGTTGATGATGATGACGTTGTTTGTGGTATTGATTGTGATATCGGTCGTGGGATCGATAGTTCGACAGAATGTGAGATCGATAGTGATACCGATAGTGAGATCGATTGTGATATCGATAGTCAGATCGATTGTGAGATCGATCGAATGGAATAGATCGAGTGAGACCGATTGTGACATCGATCGAGTGAGATCGATCGAGCGAGACCGATAGTGAGATCGATCGTGATATCGATAATGAGACCGATCGAGTGAGACGTTGGTTCCCCCCCCGAACCTCCTTATCACCCGAAGGGTGGTCGTATAGGTAATAGCATATCATCGCATGGCGTAGCGTAGCATAGCATAGCATCGCATCGCGCAGCATAGTATCGCATCGCATCACACCGCATAGTTTAGCATCGCATTGATAACATAGCGTAGCATTGTACAGCATGGCATAGCACAGCACAGCAGATAATCGCATAGCACCAGCCACGGCGGGACACCGCGGGACACCCCCAGGCCATGATCAGCCAACCGGGAGGGACACCACGGGACACCGCGGGACACCCCCGGTCCATTGTTGGCCAGCCGGGGGCACAGCAAGGTTTGGCCCGGTTTTGCCGTAAGCACAGATGGTTCTTTCCCCTCGCCTTCCGACGCAGCTTCGCCGCGCCCACACGCGCGACACGAAACGAAAACGGAAACGATTTCCTGGCGGGGGGGCTCCTGTTCACTTCGATCTCTTTCACACCAAGGGACACCGCGGGACACCCCTAGGCAACCATTGGCCAACTGGGGGGCGCAGCAAAATTTTGCTCGGTTTTGCCTAAGCGCGGCGGGTTCATTCCTCTCGCCCGCCGACGCAGCTTCGCCTCGCCCACACGCACGACACGAAACCGAAAACGATTTCTTGGCGGGGGGTTCTTGTTCACCTCGATCTCTTTCCCAACCTCGGATTCTATCTGTTTGCTGCGGAGACAATCGTTTGTTTCGCTCCGCCTGGCCCCTCCTTTCCCCCCCTCCTAGGGCTCGAGGACGGCCCAGCAGGACCCCAAAAACGGCCCCGGAGGTTCCGGAGTCCGCCCAAGAGGGCCCCAAGAAATCCCAACGGGATTTCAAGAGAGGGCCAAGAGAGTCCGCTGGGCCGTCTTTGGACGGGTTTGGGGCGTCTTGCGGCCGTTTTGAGGCGGTCTTTGGCGCAGGGCGCCGTGGAGCCGTGGAGCAAAGTGCAGAGGGCACGATTTTCTGCAGATGCGCGCGGCAGGGGGGCGTCGCTTCCAGAGAACAGTAGAAACATTTCCCGAAAGCCGACAGGCGCTCTCACATGGCCCCAACGTGCCTGCGACAGGGTGGCGGAGATCAATTGTTGGCGTTCGAGTGTTCTGAAAGGGAATTGGTCGGCGCCTCAGTATGTGCGCCTTCGCGCCAATGCGCGTCAGGCTGCAATGCTGGCTTGCAGGCGACGTCCGCCTGCGGTCAGGCCGCTGAATTTGATGCATTCCTTTACCCTCAAGAGCTGGTCGCTCCACCTTGCGCACACATCCTTGGAAAATCGACCAGATAAGTGCGCGCGAGGCGGTTGTGTCTCTGGCGCGAGACCCAGCCAGTGCAGGGCCTGGGTGGCACAGCAGAGGCTTCCCGCGGGGTCCCGAGTCGCCAGGAGACGTCTTTGGGCCCTCAGGGGACCCCAGGGCCCCTGGGCGGGAGCTCATTCACTGTGGCGGGGGTCTGGGGGGCCCAGCAGACGCTTCCCGCGGGGTCCCGAGTCGCCGGGACGTCTTTGGGCCCTCAGGGGGACCCAGGGCCCCTGTGCGGGAGCTCATTCACCGTGGCGTGGGTCTGGGGGGACCAGCAGAGGCTTCCCGCGAGGTCCCGAGTCGCCAGGAGACGTCTTTGGGCCCTCAGGGGAGGGACCCCAGGGCCCCCGGGCGGGAGCTCATTCACCGTGGCGGGGGTCTGGGGGGCCCGGCAGAGGTCTCCCGCGGGGTCCCGAGTCGCCAGGAGACGTCTTTGGGCCCTCAGGGGGCCCCAGGGCTCCTGGGCGGGAGCTCATTCACCGTGGCGGGGGTCTGGGGGGCCCAGCAGAGGCTTCCCGCGGGGTCCCAAGTCGCCAGGAAACGTTTTTGGGCCCTCAGGGGGCCCCAGGGCCCCTGGGCGGGAGCTCATTCACCGTGGCGGGGGTCTGGGGGGACCAGCAGAGGCTTCCCGCGAGGTCCCGAATCGCCAGGAGACGTCTTTGGGCCCTCAGGGGGCCCCAGGGCCCTTGGGCGGGAGCTCATTCACCGTGGCGGGGGTCTGGGGGGCCCAGCGGAGGCTTCCCGCGGGGTCCCAAGTCGCCAGGAGACGTCTTTGGGCCCTCAGGGGACCCCAGGGCCCCTGGGCGGGAGCTCATTCACCGTGGCGGGGGTCTGGGAGCCCAGCAGAGGCTTCCCGCGGGGTCCCGAGTCGCCAGGAGACGTCTTCGGGCCCTCAGGGGGCCCCAGGGCCCCTCGGGCGGGAGCTCATTCACCGTGGCGGGGGCCTGGGGGGCCCAGCAGAGGCTTCCCGCGGGGTCCCGAGTCGCCAGGAAACGTTTTTTGCAAGCCAGCCGATCGGGGGGGTCCATTCTGGAAAACTCTAAGATTCGAGATAAAAAAAAATGCCAGTGGCAATCCGTGTCTTTTAGCGATTTTATGTCGGCGCAGCAGGAGGGGCAAGGGCCCCAGCCACGGTGAATTAGGCTGATGTTTTAGGGCTATAAGTCCCTGAGCCCAGCCCCTCCCATCGTTGCCTGCCGTGCGGTTTCGCAACGGTGTCGCTACATCCCAACACGATTTCGAACGTTGCAAACTGTTTCCGAACGTCGCAATGCGGCCTGGAAGCATTTCTTGATGCTCCAGGCGGATTGTGTCTGTTTGCTACACATTCTGGAGGAGTTCGGGTGTTTGGTGCTCTTTTCTATGGTTCTCGGGGCTTGTGTCGTCTCGTCGTCGTTGCCGTCGTGGTCGTCGCCGACGTCGAGACCCCGCAGGGGCGGCATCGTGTGCGGCAAGGACGACGGCACGCTGCGCATGCGCCGGCTCTTGGTGAGCAACCAGGAGGGGGTTGCGACCGCGGGCCCGCGCCTCCAAGCGGGCTGTGGCGACTACGACGACGACGACGATGTCAACAGCACGGATCTTTTCAGACGCTGGCGGCCCATTCGTCCACCAGCATGTTGTCAGACTGCGGCCGCCCAGTCATGATCTGGCTGTGCCGCTGTTGAGCGCTTCCCCAGGCGTCAGGAGATCCCACCTCGTTGGCGACGGCGACGAGGACGCGGACGAGGACGGCGAGTTCGACGGACGACGGCGACGACGACGACGATGGCGGCGGCAACCCGAGGGGGCCGCTGGCGCAAAGTGCAGGTTCGTTCCAGGGGGATTGGAGTCGGGCGTGGCGTTGCTGGGGCGGCGGCAGCGACGGCCTGCGCAAGTGCGCAATGGCGCGCGTTGGCCTTCCAGGTCACGCACCCGCGAGGGCGCGAGGGTAATTGCGCTTCGCGCATCGCGGCCTGTGGCCGGAGAGGCGCCCTTCTCCAGAAGGCGGGCGGCGCGAGAGCGCGCATCGCGGGGGCGCGATGCGCCAAGTTAGGTGGCCCAGGTTCGCGCGGGTCTGTACAAAGGAGAAGGAGGGCGAAAGGGATGGGGCACCGGGCAGGAGCCTTGGCAGCTGGACCTGAACGAGCTGATGGCATGGGCCCCAATAGACCCGAGTGGGTGATGGTTTCCCAGCAGTTGGTCGTAGACATGTCGGGGGGAATGATGTTGTCGTACACAAGCAGATCCCCTTTAGTGAGCCCTGCGTACGTTTGGTACGAGTGCCCGAACACATTTCGAGGCAAGGCTGTATACAACCTTCCAAAATCCAGCCTACTCAGACAGAAGCGATGGGGTTGCTTCCGACACAATATCAGTATTAGCACGGTCCATTGGTTTGTTGTTGCACTGGGGGCGCACTTCTGGCTTCTCACAAGTTGAGATGTTCCCTTTCAGATCATGTCATCACCGTTGTAATGTTCGAGAGCAAGGTTGCATTCCTGGCGTTGAATATTGCGTGCACCATATCTAGTGAATGTCTCCTAGCGTGCGTCATGTTTTGGGAACAACCGTAAAGCTGCCGCCTTGTTCTACTTATTTTAGACTTGCCTGGAACCACAATCGTTGCCTCAACATTTGGTTGGCGATTTGCGTGAGATTGTCAGGACCATCCTTTTCGTTCCTTTCCGACACCCTCCTGCGGCGGGGGGGGAGGGACGCACTTTGCACACTCTAGCGCATGCGTAAGCGACGGGGGACGCCTCCCGGGCCTCCCTCCAGTCAGCATGGTCTTCAACGGCAACGACAGCAACGCCAGTGTGCTTCGGGACACTCGGAGACCACAGGAGGCGACATGAGGGTACCCGACAGACCGACAGGGTCTGCGTGTCAGCAGGGTCACAGTGTGTGTGTGTGTCTACAGCTTGGGCACCTGACGTATCAGCGCCTCCTCGGGAGCGTTGAGAGAAGGCCAGCAGGCCAGTCACGACTGCGGGAGGTGTGTTCCCTACTCCATTGGAGGGTCCATCGATTTCGGCACACCTTTCAAGAGGTCGCTGAGCCAGTATGCTGGATCCGACGGCCCTGGACAGGAACAAAGGCAGGCGAGAAGGAACACTAGACGTTTACTGGGAAGCCGGGGCATGTCTTCTCCTGCTCTCCCTCTCCTCGTCCTCCTCGTCTCACCCCCCTGTGCTGATCACTCGTAGCAGCAAGAAGTCCCCCTTCTCTTCTCCTCATCTGCCTTCTCCTCCGCTTCTCCTCTGCGTCTCCCCTCCTCGTCCTCTGGATGAGTGGGGAGGGGGGAAGAGGGGAGGCACCCCGACGCTTTCTGAAGTCGTGCCCGAGGCTTCGCAGAGGGCCCGCGTCGCCACGGTCATCTTCGTCTCGACGCCACGGTCGGAGCGCGGCCCGGGAGAGGTCTGCGGGTCAATATTTAAGTCGGGCTTGTTCCCCTACAGGAAGAATATCGTTTTTTTTTGTATTATTACACTTTAAAACAGCTGGAAGCATAGTTAAATAGTAAACAAATAGTCTGGTGGTGAATTTCCGAGGCATCCTCAAAATATTCAAAAATAGTCTGGAACATGCCTCCTTGACAGAAGTTTCGCTAGCAGACGGCGTCCGACTCAAGTCAACATGGAGGGCGGGGGCAACAAACATGGGGCATCGAGGATTCCAGGAAAGTGGCCCCGCAACGGAGCCCCAGGCGGCCCCTGAACTGCCACGGCGGGCCCACAGGGTGCACGACAGGGGAGCGCGTCTTCCCCCCCTCACGTGCCGTGCCCTCCGATGGCGAACATCGGCTGCCCAGGGTCAGTTTGGGGAGCCGTTGGGTGGCAACGAGGTCCTGGGCGATGGAAGTGGTTGCGCTGACAGCGCTGGCAGTGTCGATCGACGTCGATGCTGAGGATCACGACACCCGGCAGAGTGGAGGTTGTCATGGACTTTGATGGGGAAGGGAGGGGACGGGGAGAGGAGTGGAGGAAGGAGCACGAGAGGCATGTGACGAGTGGTGGGGAAGTGCATGGTAGTAGAGGTTGGTCTCGATGAGTTCGAAGCCAAAGGCAGATGAAGAGCAGCGAGAACATGGAAGGAAGAGGGATGGGGAAAGGCGGGGAGCATTGAAATTGTGCTGACTATGATAGGTGCGGACGGACGTCACCAACAGCACCATCTCCTTCACCGTCCTGAATCTTTATGGCTGGGCTGTGCCTGTGGCGACACTCTTGGGAGATATCAGCACTTGCAGGGGCCTGGGGCAGCAGCGTACACGCGTACCCCAGTATGTTCTGCCGCATGGGTGCCCCTCTCCGTGCTTCTGGCGCCTACTTCTGGCTGCAGCAGTAGACCGCCCGTGGCTCGAGGGATGTGTCAGTGCTGAGTTTGGGCTGGAGTGATGGACCGTGCCCGTGCTGGCATGTCCACTCAGAATGTTTCGAAGCGTGGTGACTTTCCCGTAGCTGTGTTTATGTATTGTACACAGCTGTCTGTGGCAAGCATGCCACCGTGCCAGCGCAGCAGCGCAGCAGGAAGGAGGCCGAGTTCCAGACCCACGCCAGCTCAGCACGCGATTAAACGCGGGTCTGAGCAGGCACGGGTCTTATTAGCGCGCACACGCACGTAATTATATGTGGTGATGCATGCATGTATGTTTGTATGTATGCATGCATGTATGTATGTATGTATGTATGTCGTGTATACATGTACATATATATGTATGTTTATGTATAGGTGTGTGTGTGGTTGTGTGTGCGTATGTATGTTTGTATGTCTATACGTAATGTATGCATGTATATATGTGTGTACGTATGTATGCATGCATGCATGCATGTGTGCGCATGTCGTATATGTGTGTGTGTGAATGTGTGTCTTTATGTAGATGCGCATATATGTTTGTATGCATGTAGGCACGTCTATATGTAATATATGCATGTATGTCTGTATGTATGTATGTACGTACGTCTGTTCGTATGTATGTATGATTGCAGTCATGCGTGTATATATGTACATGTGTGTATTCATGTCTGTGTGTGTATGTGCATGTGCATGTGTATGCGTATGGGTATGTGTATGTGTACGTGTACGTGTATGTGTATGTGTATGTGTAGGTGTACGTGTATATATTTGAATGTGTAGGTGTAGGTGTGGGTGTAGGTGTATGTGCATGCGTGTGCGGATGTGGATGTGTATGTATGCATGTATGCATGCATGTATGTATGTATGTATGTATGTATACATACATACATACACACCCTTTTCTATATGTTTATAGTCTGGGGCCCTGCGATCCCCCACATTTCCTAAACGGGACCCCTGCAGATCCATGGCCCCAGGGGCACCCTGGACGCCCTTGAAGACGGTCCCCTGTGCTGTCGGGGGCTCCTGAAGCCCTTGCTGGGCTTAGGCAGCGGGCCCAAACAGGTCAGGAGGGCTGCTGGACGGCCCCGCGAGAGCCCAGAAAGGCTCCAGACACCAACCAGAGGCCCGAAGACGACGCAAAGAACCCCAAGAGGTATTCGAAACGCAACAGACATTGATTCCCTATGGTGTTTGTACGATTCGGGGACTTGTGAGTTCTTCTGTCTTCCCAGCGTCCGAGACTGCCCAGGAGGTCAAAGCATCGCCAAAAACTTTACCAAGAGGGCCTCCAGGCAGTCCTGGAGGAGCCCCAAGGCGGCCCAGCAGGGCCCCAAGATGGCCCGAAGAGAGCCCCATGACGGCGCGAGATGGCCACAATATGTCTCCAGAATCATTCCAAATCGTGTCCGGGTCGTCCAGGGAAACCGCGGTTGGAAGCAGGGTGGCCCAAGGAAGCCCCCAGAGGCCCCCAGAAGGAACCCAGGAGGCCTCCAGAAGACCCGAACAAGCCCTCCAAAACCTTCGTGAGACTTACAAGAGGCGCTCCTAGGATGAGCCCCCGCAAAAGGGCTGCGGATGGGGGCGAGTTCGCAGGGCAGGGCGAGAATGAGGAAGAGGAAGAGGAAACAAGAGGGAAGGATAACAAAGGACATTATGACAACGGCGATACCAGAAAAGACAACAACACATGATCGCTAGGTGTTCCGTTTGACCTTGTTGCCTTCCTGCCTGCATGCCGATCCTCAAGGACCAAAGTGCATGGCACGAAGCGCATATATATAGAGAGATATGCATCTACACATTTATATACACGCATATACAGGTACTTATGTGTAGATATACATGTGTATGTATAGATGCCTCGCCGCAGAGCTCCCCTCGCGAAGGCCACGCCCGAACGCTGGCCCCGAGCGCTCCTCCTCCTCGCGCGAATTGCCCAGGAGAGGAGCTGCAGCCTGCGGGGCAGAGGCCGGCCGCGCCGCGCCGTGCGAGGCGCCCCAGCCAGGGCCTCGTCTCCGAGGATCGACGCATCGGTGAGGTGATCGGCTGCAGAACTGAGTTGCCCCAAGATTGGCTCTCCCGTCAAAGCTAC